GCTATGGGTGGAGGCGGCGTGGGGTCGACCAGAGGAGCCAAGAGGGTTTCAGCGCCACAGGGTCAGCTAGGAATGCCCTTGGCCCTCTAGGGGGTCCAGCGACTCTATTCGGAGGAAGACGTACAAAATCATCTGCCATGCTTCCGCTGCAAGGGACACCAGAGGTCCGAGGGGAAGAGGCGGAGATCGGAGGTGGTTGCTGACGCTGCTCCAGCTGCCGAACTCGAGCCTGCGACAGTAGGGCCCAAATGAGGAGGATGATCCCCTCAATGCCCTGGGGGGGGACAGCGACTGCGCTGGCTCATCTCCGTCGTGGGGCATGAAGGAAAAGAGCTCGCGTGGCGAGCCGCATCAAGACGTTTGGCATATCATTCTCCACCCGTACCATCCGGAATCCCTTCCGCAGTTGAGGGTGCAAGTCGACCCCGATGGTTCCATGTGAAGGACAAGCACACCTCACAGCCAATACGGCCGTCTGAGTGTCTCCATCATCAGAAGAAGGTGGTGCAAGCATTCGGGCCATCAAGTTCTTCGGCCCCAATGGGGATCTCAAGCGCGATCTCAGGTTAGCGAGAGCACGAGGGGAAGGGGATCTCATCTTGTGGACCCGCCACGGGGAGAGGGGTTACTTGTACTTGACCGTGCTGCCTCCGGACCTAACTTTGTTTGAGGTTCGCACTCCCGCCTTGGCACCTTCTGGGGAGGGCTTTGAAGCTCTTCGTCCTTTCCCCCCTCGGGTTCCACCATTCCCTCGGGTGGGGGGCATCAGGGGGTCCTCCTGGGTATGGGAAGGGGTCATCGGCGGGCCAGGGATCTCCTCCTTGACGTGGCTCCCATATCCGTCCTCGGCGATCTCCGTCGGCGAGAGCGGTGGGCTGGACGCGATTGCCCCGGGCTGGCTGAACGGGCGTGGCTTTTCCGTCGGGATGGGCGAACTGCTTCTCGACTCTGCTGTGTTTGGTGTCGCGGTACCTCCGATCGGTGTGTTCGGTGCTGCTCTTGGCGCTGAGCAATGCTGAAAAAGTGGCGCCTGACCTGGCACCTGAAACCCCGCTGGCGCAGGCGCAGCTGCAGTCGTTGTCGGGTTCCCGAGCTGGAGGTGGCCAGTGATGATATTCATCTGGGCATCCGTAGCCTGCGGCCTCTCCATCATAAGCTTCGGCATCTGCTCCCTCTGGTTCACTTCATAGTCATGCGCTGCGGCTGGTGGCGGCAGCGGCGGCTGAGGCAGAAACGTCTCCGCCGCCCTCGCCGCCTGGGCTGCCTGAGCATGTCCGATTGCTGCGTCCACTCTGGGCCATGCACTCGGTGGCGGAGCGGGGGCTGGCATCGGTGCTGGTGGAGACGACTGCGGTCCACCGAACAGCCCATCTGCTGGGCGGGCTCCTGCTGCATACGTGCGTGGCTTGCTGTCGTCCATCTCGCTTCCGACCTGGTGGTCCTCTAGATCCTCCATGGACTTCTTCTACGATTGTAAGTCACACTCTGCCTCGTTCCTCTGGTCTCCTATCTCCTTCAACTTTGTCGTCAAGGTCTTGATGCGATTGATACAATTGTCACGTTTCTGCGTCAACTCGGCCAGGTGATCTACAAAACGGGCGGAGGCACACATCATATATTTCAGGCGCGCAACTTATTGCAAGAGATGTGAGTCTTTCTTGCCAGCCTTGCTTCCGACGGTAACGAACCTGGCGATGCCGATTTTTTTGTTTGTTGCTCATTAGTTATATTCTTTGATGGCCTGCGTGTCTGTCGGGGCCACCTCGGAGCCAATCCCACGCATGTGCCAATCGGCGTCCATCCTGGTCATCGTAATGATGCGGCCGATGAACTGCTTGATATCCTGCTCCTCACATTTGACGTTTTGATTGTGTCGAGGAGGGCTTGGCTGGCGGGGGATTTCACGTTCATCGCGTGCTCCGTGACGGTTCCAGATATCGGGGCGCACACCTATTGAAGTGGATGCCGCACGAGCGACGCCAATGGTGAGATTCGACGTCGCGCCCACAACCACAATTCCACTTCTGTTGGGGACAACCAGCCACACCGTTTCCTGAGCGAGGGCCGAACATCTTGTAAGAGGGAGAGCTGTGGTGGGCTCTATGGAGGGTTTGGGCCTTGTACAAAAAGAGAAGTACAGGTACTAGTAGTGAGGTACAGTAGCAGGGCGTGGCCACTTCTCTGGCGGCACACCTGGGGTCAGGCCTTCTCCTGGGCCAAATGCCTGCCCTCCTCCTCCTCGTCCTCCTCGTCCTCCTCCAGCTGCTTTGGCTCAAGCTCGCTTCGCAGGCGCCCTCGGGTCGGCCGCAGCGTGTCCGATGTCGGCGGCGAAGGTGGCCCGCGCTGCGGCGCTCGATGTGACGCGCTGTGCGCTCCTCGCGGCGCATTTGGCTGCTGGGCTGGCAACGGACTGCCCCGAGCTGCGCGAGCCATTCCGCTTGCTCAGGGCGGCCGAGGGTATGGTGCGCGCGGCAGCGGCCTTGCTGGCCAGGCCTGCCCCTCCTGCGTCGCCTGCGGCGCCTCCCGCGGTGGCCGCGGCTGCCCCTCGGCAGCGGCGACGCCCCCACGGCCGCGGCGGCCAGAAGGGCGGGGTGCGGGACGGCCAGCACGGCGCCGCCGCCAGCGACAGCATGGTCTTGGAGAGCGCGACGGAAAAGGGCGCGGCCGCTGGGGCGGCAGCGGCGCCCGTGCGCATGCTCTGCTCAAGGATGACTTCTGGGCCGATGGCCTGGTGAGGCCCGCTGCGAGTTCGCGGCGGCAGTATCTCGTCGGGCGCTCGATGGCTCACGGTACGTCGCCAGTCGCGATCAGCCGTGCCACGGACGAGCAGATGGAGAGGCACGTCTCGTCCCTCGACGCGCTCTCGGAGGGTGGCATCGAGCTGCAGCTGCCGCGCGCGCGGGCGGCCGGCTACGGAGGGCCGGGGGGGAGGGCGATAATGCTGTGCCATGTGCACGAGCACGGCCGTCCTCCCCCTCAACGCGGTCTCCGACGGCGTCCTCCTATCGCTCGGCCTCCACGTGTTCGAGCTCCTTTGAGCCCCCGCCCTGGCCGCGTGCGGCGTCGGGCGCGGTCCGCTTCGGCGTGCTTCTTCTTCTCCTTTTTCTTCTTCTTTTTCTTCTTCTTCTTATTTTTATCATTCTTCTTATCATTATCATCATTATTATTATTATCATCATTATTATTATTATTGTCATTCCTCCTCCTCCTCCTCCATTCATATCCCGATACATAATGCCTCCCTGTCGCACCCCGAGGCAGGTCGGTCGAAAGGGCAGGCCAGGCGTTTCGCCTGAGAATTCCTCACCACTTATGACCGTGAAGTTCTAGAATTCGCATCAGGTTCATAGATGGAGGGCGGGTGGTTTTCAAAATGTGGCCCTCGCTTCAGCGCCGCGCACATTCGTTTTCAACAACTGCAGCTTCGCGGGTTGAAGGCGGGTCGTTTTCAATATGTGTTTCTCGCTCTAGCGCCGCGCACGCGCACATTCGTTTTAAACATTTGCAAGAGCTTCGCGGATTGAAGACCTTTCGTTTTCAAATTGAGGTTCTCGCGTTAGCGCCGCGCACATTGGAATTTGCAAGAACTTCACGAATTGAGGGCCGTTCGTTTTCAAATTGTGGCTCTCGCTTCAGCGCCGCGCAAACTCGTTCGTAAAAAATGCAATCGTTTCGCGGATCCCCGTGGTCAACGTACGAAACATGATATTTTGGAGTGGCTAAGGAATGTGAGGGTGCAACAGCGACGCTGGCTTGCGGTGTCGAGGTGCCAGGAGTCGTGTTTTGGCACGGTTCAGGATCGCTGAAACGCAACAGTCAGGTTGATCCGCGGCGTCAGAGTCCCGATAATGGTGTCTTGGCATGCTTCAGGGTCTTCAGACAGTTGTCTCTCAATGAGGCGGTTCCCTCAGTGGAAATGAACCCTTGCAGGGTCCTGTGCAGAGGGAGCTCGGAGGGAGGGTTGATTCCAACTTTGTTGATACGTCTGGGGTTTGCACTGGTCCTCCTCGTCCTCCTTCTCCTCCTCCTCCTTCTCCTATGTCCTCCTCATCCTTCTTCTCCTCCTCGTCCGCCTCCTCCTTTCTGCGCTGCAGCGTAGTAGCCCTGCACGCGCCGGTCCGCGTAGGTGGCTGGGAGTGGCCAACAGAGGCCCGTTTCTCCAGCGGTCTGGGTCAGGGGCTGCGGCCCGCAGGCCTGAGGGGTTTTAAGCGCGACTTAGTGAAACTCCGAATGGTCTCGCGGTTGCGCAGACACTTCCCAGGCTCGGACAGAGCCGAGGTTTACACGGTGCCGTTGCACCTGGTGCGTGTGGGTGAATGCAAAGTCGCATGCCTCCCAGTGGCAAGGTTAGTGAGGACGGCTATAGCAACAGATAGGACCAGGTCAACCTCGAAGGTCAAGGGGTGCGACTTCTCCAGCGGCTGGACCACCTGGCTCGAAAATAGTCTTCAGATGTGCTCAATCAATTGCATGTACTGAAGAAGGAAGTTTACATGCATCGCTTGACGTCATTTGCGCGAGTTGGATGTTGAGGCGCTCGGGGCTGACGACCATGCCACTCGGCGACATCATCGGCCTGGCTGCGTTCGGCTTCAGTGGAGCACGAGCGACTCAACGGAAGGTCTGCTTCGAGAACGATGACGGGTATGAGGCCAAGCAGTAGTACGCCGATGTGGGCAAGTCACATCCAATATAAGGGATCTGCGATTCCGACGTCGAGAGGGTCACGCCGGTACGGACCAGAGCAAAACCTGGCGAACCGTGTCGGTGGGTGTCAACATCCCCCAGTGCGCTTGTCATGCATTATGTATCCACCCTTCGTGCAGCCACGAAGCCATGGGTCCTCTTCCACACTGGTCTTCGACAGGCACTCGCCCTTGGCTTTTCTTCTCCCTCTCCTCGTTCTCCTCCTCGTTTCGTCGTCGCTTGCGTCCGTGCTCCCGTGGTTTGCCGGCGCCTTCTCTGCCCCCGACTCCGCCTCCCGCTCTCCTCCCTGCGAGGACGTCGGAGAGGACCTCGCGCGGCTCGGCGACGAGGCCGCGATGCAGCTGCTGCGGGAGGTGGAGCTGAAAGGCCCCCCGGGGAGGAGCCGGCCCGTGCTGCTCCCTCCCGCCGTCGCTGACCCCGGGGTTTGGGTCCCGCTCCGGGCCAGAACGCGCCTGGGCATGGTGGTCGAGCCCGGGTCATAGGCGCGGCGCTTCCGTTGAGCAGTCGCAGAAGTGGCCAGCTTGGGGCGGCGCGGCGGGTCCCGACAAGTTCCCCAGTTGCTCCTGGCGCGGGCCCTGCACGTAGGCACTCTCTCCAGCTCGTATGTCTTCCCGTCCTCGGGGGGGGGGTCTGCCGGGACAGGTCTGCGCTGGCTCGAGCGGCCTTTTCCCGGAGGAGGAGGAGGGGGAGGAGGAGGTGGGAGAAGAGGAGGAGGAGGAGGAGGAGGAGGAGGAGGAGGACGACGACGAGGAGGAGGAGGCGGAGGATGAGGAGGAGGAGGAGGCGGAGGAGAGGAGGGGGAGGACGGGGAGGAGGGGGAGGGACGAGGGACGAGGCGAAGCGCGTCCGTCGGAGCGCCCGACAGACGGCGGCACGGCGGGGCTCCCAGGGGCCCCGTCCAACCTCAGCCGAAGACGACGAGGGAGGCCACGAGGATAAGGAGGAGGAGGATGAGGGAGGATGAGGAGAGGAGGAGGAGGAGGAGGAGGAGGAGGAGGAGGAGGAGGAGGAGGAGGAGGAGGACGAGGACGAGGAGGACGAGGAGGAGGAGGAGGACGAGGAGGGAGAGAGGAGAGGAGGAGGAGGAGGAGGGGAGGAGGAGGAGAGGGAGGAGGAGGAGGAGGAGGAGGGAGGAGAGGAGGAGAGAGGAGGGAGGAGGGAGGAGGAGGCAAACAGCGAGCAGCGGCAGCAGGGGCGGAGGGGACCGCCCCCCCCCCCCCCCCCCCCAGCGCGCGCTGCCGCACGCCCTCTGCCGAGAGGCTCGAGCGTCAAGGACCCGACGGGGTTCCTGAAGTTCAAGCTCAAGGCGAAGCTCGCCACGCTGAGCGGGGCCACGCTGGAGGAGGCGGGGGCGGGGAGGCGGCGGGGTTGGCCAATGTAGGGGAGGGGCGTGAGGCAGGGGCAGGAAGCAGGAAGTGATGACCCCGCTGAGCGGGGCCACGCCAGAGGAGGTGGGGTGGGGAGGCGGCAGGGGGGGGGAGGCAATGCAGGGGGGGGGCGTGAGTCAGGGGATCGCAAACATGGATCACGGGGGCGTGGATTAGCGACGGGTCCCGTTTCCCTGGGAAGTCGCGGATTTCCGCCGCCGAGCAAGGCGGCACCGGCCGCATTTTGGGGAGGGCATCTCCCCCGATCCATGGATTTGGCGACCGCGCGCCAGATCCATGGATCGCTAATCCATGTTTGCGCGCCCCCGAGTGAGGGAGGGGCAGGACGTGATGGAGGGATTTGTTGCTTCGTGTGTGTGTGTGTGTGTGTGTGTGCGTGGCTTCCTTCCGCATCACCGCTCCGCGGTTCTGCATTGTGCCTCCGCGTGGGACTTGGATCTTCTAGATCGCGGGTCCGTTACCGCAAGTCCCAGTTTGTTGGTGTGGACTTGAAACTTATGTCGGTTGATCCTCCACTCCGTCTTCGTTTTGAGTGTTCATCTTCGTAGGGTGGGTCCACCACTGGGGGTTCGCCAACCACGCTGGAGGACGATTGAGGATCGGGGACGAGGAGAAATAGAAGAGAGATAAAGATGAGGAGGGGGGGAGGAAAAGGATGAGGGTCAGGATGATGAGGAGGAGGAGCAGGAGGAGCACGACCAGGTCGGAGAGAAGCTCGGGGAGGAAGAGATGGAGGCGTAGGGTGAAGGGGAGGAGCAGGATTTTGATATAAACGTCGTATGCCCAGCATACACCTGACCAGTGGGTGAGGATGGCCATGGACAGCCGAGGGACTTTCCCAAACCTTCGCAGTGCGCTGGGAGTTTTCCTCCCCAGCGAGGTGACAACATCCAAGTCAAGGAACAAGTCCGTCTTGTCTACCCTGCATGGCGCTTTGCCCTAAACAGCTTGTCTGTGAGGTTTCTATCGAAGCCGCCTACGGCGAATCAACGACGCCCCCAGCCTTGTAGGATACGCCTTTTGTGGCTAAACGTTTTGGCAAAGTTTGGCCACACTATTGGACCATGCGTTCCCCCAATCCGTTGTGGAAGTCTTTTGGGGAGCGCGTGGGGGAGGAAGAGGAGGATGAGAGGGAGGAACAAGGAGGATGAGGAGCAGGATGAGGAGATCTACTGGGAGCTCCTTGGGTAATTATTGGGGGAGGAGGGGGAAGGGGGAAGAGGAGAAGGAGGGGTCAAGGAGGAGGGGAGAGGATAATTATTGAAGATGCACAAAGGACAATACATAACACGCGGAAGGGAACACGCGGCGTAACATGCGGAGAACGCAGAATATGTTGATGGGGGGACGGGGCATGCGATCAGGGCGGGTGAGGATGAGAGAGAGGGAGAGGGAGGAATCGGTGGAATGGGCGAGGGGGAGGGCAAGGGGGATAGAGAGGGAAGAGGTGACCGATGAGACTTCAGAGCAGCAGGATGAGTACGGGAGGTTCGTGTCGTGCCGACCGGCGGCGACCTCGCCGCAGGCGTTCAACGTTTAACGCCAGCGGCGGCCCAGAATCGCTTGACGTTGAACGACTGGACGTTGCGGAAACGGCCGATCGTTCAAGATTGAACGATCCTCGCGGTGTCAGGAGCCAACAACCGGGTCGACACGACACGAACCTGCCGTAGGAAAAGGTCGACATTCTTCGGAGGCTCGTGAAGCGGAGAAGAGGGGTCAGGCAGCGCATGTCCACCCTGAGATTTGGCGAGGTGTGCTGCCCGCTCTGCGCGCCCGACCCCTGGCGTGCGGCCGGTCGCCCCAGCAGCGTTAAATCCTCTTCCTCCTCCGCCGCCTCCCCCTCCTCCTCCTCTCACTGAAAGAGAAAGAGAAAGCGGACACGAAGCGAGCAAGGGAAGAACAAGCGGTCAAGAAGCGATGGGGCGAGGAGAGGCTCTAGCGTCCACAGGCAACGAGAAAAATATGGAAGCGCACCCATCCAGGATTTTTTGTCGGCGCCCGGGTGGAAGGCCGAAAACCACCCAGGCGCCCGCGACAGGGCGCACTTCCAAAAGCGGCAAGGGGTGGAGGTGAGGAGGGAGGAGGGAGTTAGGAGGGACCGGAAGGCGGAGGAGACGGGCGCGCGGCGGGGAGGCGTGAGCCACCAGACCCCCCCCTTAGGCGCTCGCGCCACCCGCCGGAGGCACGGAGCGGGGAAGGAGAGGGGAGGAGAGGGGACTGAACAGAAAAACAGCAGCAAAAGCTGCATAAACGGACACAGCGAGTGTGGAGGGGAAAGGGAGGAAGAAAGAGGGGCAAAGGGCGCCTGGAAGAGAGAAAGCAGGCAGCGTCGCCCCCGCCGTCCGCGCTTCAGCGCCTGCGCGCCCGCGGCGCGGCGACCCCCCCCTGGTCGCGGGGAGCCCCGGCACCACTCAGCGCCTCAAGAGGCGCGGCAGGGCGCGGCGGCCGGGCGGCCACACCGAGGTGTTGTAAGCTTCGGCGTTCGCCCTCTGGAGCGCGGCGGCCAGGCTCTGGCGCGCCGCCGAGAGCGCGGTCGCGTCGCCGGCCGCCCAGGTGCGCAGGAGGTCCTGCGCTTCGCGCCCTGGCCGGCCGAGCGTCTCGAGCGCGAAAACGCGCAGTGCCGCGCCGGGGTAGCGGCGGTGCTTCCGCTCCTCTGCCGCCGCCGCCGCGGCTCCGTCGCGCCAGGCTCGGCCCCGCCCTGCTGGGGTCGCGGCCCCGGCTGCGGCGTTGGTCACCACGACGTCCACGTACGCGGTGCCTGCCACTGGGTCCACGTAAGTAACGTCCAGGCGCGCCGCTTCCAGACGGCCGTCTTGGTGGACCCTGTCCCAAGCGGGGACCAGCTGTTCAGTGCCCACGCCCCTCGCCCCGTGCTCCTTCAGCCAGCGCGCGAGCCAGTCGCGGATGGCATTGTGGCGCGCTATCGTGCCTGCGCCAGCATGGCAGTCCAGGGGGTGGGTCGGGGCCCGCGCAAGGTCCGCTCCGCAGAGGTGCCCGTCGGCGCGGCGGCGCTGGCAGGTGGCGCAGGAGTCGGCGGGCCGCTGGAGGCAGAGGCGCAGCCCCAGCGCTGCCAGGAAGTGCTCGTCCGCCAGGCGGTGCTCGTCCAGCGTCGGCGGGAGCAGCCAGCTGCCTGCGCCTCTCCCGCTCGCCGAGCGCAGCAAGGCAGCCTGCTCTGGGGGCAGCGCTGCCAGGAGCTGCTTGCGGCTTTCGTCCAGCTCGCGGTGCGCAAGGGCCTTCTGCGCCTTCCGTCTCGGCTCCGCTGCAGCCTGGTGCCACTCGCCAGCCCTCCCCCTCCTCCTCCTCCACCTCCTCCTCTCCTCCTCTCTCCTCCTCCTCCTCGTCCTCCTCCACCTCCTAATCCTCCTCCTCCTCCTCCTCCCCCTCCACCCCCCTCCTCCTCCCTCTCCTCCTCCTCCTCCTCCTCCTCTCCTCCTCCCTCCTCCTCCTCCTCCTCCTCCTCCTCCTCCCCTCCTCCTCCTCCTCCTCCTCCTCCTCCTCCTCCTCCTCCCCCTCTCTCCCCCTCTCCCTCCTCCTCCTCCTTCCTCCTCATCCTCCTCCTCCGCCTCCTCCTCCTCCTCCTCCTCCTCCTCCTCCTCCTCCTCCTCCTCCTCCTCCTCCTCCTCCTCCTCCTCCTCCTCTCCTCCTCCTCCCCCCTCCGCATCCTCCTCCTCCTCCTCCTCCTCCTCCTCCTCCTCCTCTTCCATCTCCTCCTCCGTCCCTATTGAGAAGGTAGGGCCGTTACACAATTAATCGCAGGGGATTATTGCCAGAAGCGCGCAAGGCACCAGCGTAGGTGTTTTGACGTTGAACCCCCTTATGCGGATGCCCTGTCCTGTCCTGTCCTCCTCCTCCTTCTCCTCCTCCTCCTCCCCCCCTTGTTCTCTCCTCATCCACCTCCTCCTCCTCCTCCTCCATTCCGGAGCGTGCTCTGGAACGGCAGCGGCGCCCCAGGCCCGCTGGCCCTCTCAGAGATCTCCGGGTGGTCTTCCCCCGATCTTTTCCTGCCCTGCCCTCGGCGTGGAGGCCTTCAGGCCCGCTGGTGGCTCTCGGAGACCTCCGAGGGGGTGTTGGCCCGATCTGTTCCTGCCCTGCCCTACAGTCGGGGCCCTGAAGAAGGAACCCTTTTGGTTGGGGAGGGGCTCCGCGTTCCTTAAGTGTTTCACAGCTTGCCTCAGGTTTCCCTTATGTTTTCGATCGGAAATCGAAGTTTAACTTATGAAGAAAGGGGCCTCGTTCCATATTTAGGATTCCTTAGGTCAACGCCCCGACTGTAGGCGTGGAGAGGGGAGGTGGTAGACGATGAGACGAAGATACTGAAGCGCGTCGAGTGGCTCAACGACTACGGCGGGCTGCAGCAGGACATCGACTACAACAGCGTGGCGGCCCGGCTGAAGGGTGCCGGCCTGGATGCCGCCATGGCTGCTCTGAAGGAGCCGTCGGGGCCCTCCGGACAGTCCAGAGCGCTGCCTCGGCCCCATGCGGGTGCCGTCTTCGGGCCTAAGACCGCAACACCATGATCCGGGAGGCAAGAGAGGGAGCCCGGAGTGCGGGCGAGATTTCTGGAATCCCGCGTCGCGAGAAAACCTGTCGGAGGTCTGGGGTCTCAGCTGCATAGTGCCAGGCGTAACGTGTCGCATTCGTCGACTTCACCACCGCACCTGCAGCAAGATCAGGCTTACAAAACCAGCCGCGGTCTAGTTGTGGCCCATCGTTGCCACGGTTCACTCCCAAACTTACGACACACTGTTACCCTAGCGGCTTACGCCATTCCGCCAGTCCCCAGAAAGCGCTTCCGTTCAGGAGAGGGCAAGGAGGAGGAGAATAGGTGAAGGAAGAGAAGGGGACCTGGATCAGTGTCATGAGGCTGTGGAGAAGAAGCAGGAATCCCCAGCCTCATGCGGCATGCAGGCTGTCGGCTCCAATCTTCAAGGCACGCACGGAGTATGAAAGTTGTTGCCCTGTTCACTGAGGAGAGCCTGCGGCGGCGTTGTAATCTAATTCGACTTAGGCTCCAAATGAAAGGCGGGGGAGGGAAAGGTGTGTCAGATGAGCAGTGAATGAAACGAGGGAGAACCTCGACGGGCCAGAACCTCGACGGGCCAACGAGGCTATACCATGTGGCCCTCTCAACGGAAGGACCGCTTGCTTCTCCAAGCTACGCAGGAGGAGGGAGAGGAGGAGGGAACGCGCAGAAAAAGATGAGACGGAGGCGGAGGGGAAGGAGAGAGAAAGGAGGATGAGGAGGTGCAGGAAGACCACAGCAAAACCAATATGCACAAAACGATGTTGCACTGACCGCATGCCCCCGATAATGAATCGTCTAGCCCCCTTCCCACCAGCCTCATGCTTGTCTCCGGCCAAGATGGTGGGGAGCGGCGGGTCCGAACTTCGTCATCACCCAGGGGGGTACACATCGAGTCTCCAATGTTCATACATCCGATCACTATTACTCGTATTACGTATTATTAATACGATTATTGTTACTGTTACACTTACTACGACAACAACTACTACTACTGCTACTACTACTACTACTGCTACTGCTACTGCTACTGCTACTACGACTACTACTACTACTCCGACTACAACAACAACTACGACTACTTCTTCTTCTGCTACTACTACCGCTACGATTGCTAGCACTACGACTCTTACTATGTCTGCCACTCCTACTGCTACTACTACCTCTACTACTTCGACTATTACTATTATGATTACTACTACTACTCCTACTACTACTACTACTACTACTACTACTACTACTACCTCTACTACTACTACTACTACTACTACTACTACTACTACTACTACGTTTGATACTACTGCTACTACTACTACTACTACTACTACCTCTATTACCACTACTACTACGACCACCACTACTACTACTACTACTATTACTACTACTACTACTACTACTACGAGCACTACTACTACTACTACTACTACTACTACTACTATAACTGCTACAGTTACTTTTACTCTTACGACTACTCCTACCACGATTTTAACTACCACTCCAAGTCTTACTATGACGACTACTAATACATATGTTCTGAACCACTGCTAGTACTACTGCTACTACTATGTCTTCCTCTTCTAGTACTACTGCCACTGCTACTACTACTACTACTACTACTACTACTACGACCACTACCACTACGGCTACGACTATTACTATTACTACTTGTACCATTACTACTATTACAAGTACGACTACTACTACTACTACTACCACGTAGCACTTCTATTCCTACTACTATACTACGACTACTATTGCTAATACTACTACTATCATTTCTAGTACTCCTACTAGTACGTCTATTGCATACTACTACTACTACTACTACTACTACTACTACTACTACTACTACTACTGCTACTGCTACTACTACTACTACTACTACTACTATTAATACTACTACTACTACTACTACTACTACTGCCACTACGATTATTTGTACGCTGATTATTACTACAACTACGGCTATTACTATTACTACTACTACTACTACTACTACTACGATTACTACTATTACTATTACTATTACTACTACTACTACTACCTATCACCACTACTACTACTACTACTACTACTACGACTACTACTACGACTACTACGAAGACCAGAACTAATAGTTTTCCTACCACTGCTACGACTACTCCCACCACGATTTCAACTACTACTCCAAGTCTTACTGTGACGACTACCGGTGCAGATGTTCTGAACGATTGCTACTACTACTTCTACTACTACTACTAGGACTACTACCACTACTACTGGTTCTCCTTTAGTTACTACTACTACTACTACAACCTCTACCTTTACGGCCACGACTAGCATTATTACTGCTTGGATTATTGTTACAACTTTTAGCACTAGTACTAGTACTGCTAGTGCTACTGCTTACTGCGAACACTACTTGTACTACTACTACTACTACTACTACTACTACTACTACTTCTACTACTTCTACTACTACTACTACTACTACTACCACTACTACTGCTACGACGACGACGACGACGACGACGACGACTACTACTACTACTACTACTACTGTTACTATTACTACTACTACGACGACCCGTATTACTACATTACAACTACTATTACTACTCTTGCTACTACTACGACAGCACCTTACTATTATTACGACTACGACCAATACTATTACTACTACTAACTCCTACTACTACTACTCCTTCTGCTACTACGACGACTTCTGCTACTATTGGTACTACGGCTATTACTGTTACTACTTCTACTTCGATGGCTACTGTTACTACTACGGTTTCTGCTACTGCTGCTGCTGTCACGACCGCTAATGCGACGCACTGCAGTTACTAATGCCCCCCACTGGTGTTACTATTACTACTTCACCCCAACTGAAGCAACATACGACTACCAACGCATTCGGCTACTACCATCACTACTCCTGCTGCTACTACAACTACTACTGCGACCGATGCATCTCACCATTGCTATTTCTGCTGCCACTACGATTACGATTACTATTATTACTACTGCTATTACTAATACTACGACGACTACTACTACTACTACTACTACTACTACTACTACGACTACTACTACTACTACGACTACAGCTGCTACTACGACTACTACGCTTACTAGACCAACTACTACTACTACTCCTGCTACGACTACTGCTACCATCGCGGCTTCTAGTAGTGGAACTTTTACCATTACTACTACGGTTACAAAACTTACTATGACTCTTCTTACTACTACAGCTGCTACTTCTGCTGCTGCTACTACTGTCACTGCGACCTCAACTCCAACTTCAATGGCTACCAACGCATTCTATTCCTACCGCTACTACTACTGCTGCTACTGGCACTGTGATGTCTCTTGCTACCAATGCATCTCGCCATTGTTACTTCTAATGCGACTACTACTGCCGCTGCGATTACCACTACGACGAATACTGCTACTACTACTACTACTGCTACTACTACTACTACGTCTAGTACCACTGCTAGCTACTACTACGGCTAAGACCACCACGAGGACTATTACTATTATTACTACTACTAATACTACTACTACTACTACGACGACGACGACGACGACTACTACTACTACTACTACTGCGGCGACTACGACTACGACTACGACGAATACGACTACTACTACTACTGCTACTACTACTGCTACTACTACTACTACTACTACTACTACCACTACTGCTACTACTACTACTACTACTGCTACTACTACTACTACTACTATACTACTGCTACTACTACGACTGTCATCAATACTTCAACTACGAGTACGAGTATCAGTGCTACCATACGGCCACTATTACTATTACTAGCATTACGGTTACTACCGCTACTATTCGTATCACTACTGCTACTACTAGTACTACGACGACATCTCCTCCTACTAGTACTACTAGTACTACTGGTACTACTCGTACCACTAGTACTACTAGTACTACTGGTATCGCACGTTCTAGTACTACTACTACTACTACTACTACTACTATTTCTACTACTACTACTACTACTACTACTACCACCACGGCCACCACTACTACTACTACTACTACTACTACTACTACTACTACTACTACTACTACTACTACTACTACGACTACTACTACTGTTGCTTGTTACTCCTACCTGTATCACCAACACGACTACTACTACCACTAACACTACTTCTGCTACCAATACTGTTGCTAGTACTGCGAGTATTCCTGCTACGGCTATTTGTATTATTGCTACTGCCAGTGCTGCGAGTGCTACTGCTGCTGCTACATCTTGCGCTCGCACCCCCACGGGCGACCATTCGCTGAACCACGGCTTCATTGTTCGCCGGATATTCCCCGCGATGGCGTCCCCCCGCGAGGACTTAAACATTTTTCTGAATTCATTGTTGCCCAAAGATTTTGATCGGTTCGATATGTTGTTTTTGTTCCAACCACCTTGTGGTGTTGGGTTTGCGTTTTGAAGAGAATGTCCCCGCGTCTCCTCCTCCCTCCTCCCCCTCCTCCCTCCTCCCTCTCCCCTCTCTCCCCCGTGCGTTTTACCCACCCACTACAGCCCTTCGTGGCCCCATGGGGAGCTCCACCTGCGGCCCCTGTGGGGGTGGCCACATGCGTCCACCACACCTAGTACAGCGCTTCGTGGCCCCATGGGGGGATCCACCCAAGGCCCCTTGTGGGGGTGGCCACATGCGTCCGCCACACCCAATACAGTGTTTCGTGGCCCCATGGGGAACCCCATGTGCGGCCCCAGTGGGGGTGGCCACATGCGTCCGCCACACCCAGTACAGCGCTTTGTTGCCCCATGGGGGGTCCCACGCAACGCCCCAGCGGGGTTGGCCACATGCGCCCGCCACACCCAGTACAGCGTTTCGTGGCCCTATATGGAGCTGCGCGTGAGGCCCCAGCGGGGGTTGCCACATGCGTCCGCCACACCCAGTACAGCGTTTCGTGGCCCCATAGGGAGTTCCACCTGCTGCCCCAGTGTGGGTGGCCACATGCGTCCGCCAAACCTAGTACAGCGCTTCGTGGCCCCATGGGGAGATCCACCCAAGGCCCCAGTGGGAGTGGCCACATGCGTCCGCCACACCCAGTACAACGCTTCGTGGCCCCATAGGGAGCCCCACGTGCGGCCCCAGTGGGGGTGGCCACATGCGCCCGCCACACCCAGTACAGCGCTTCGTGGCCCCATGGGGGGCTCCACCTGCGGCCCCTGTGGGGGTGGCCACATGCGTCCGCCACACCCAGTACAGCGCTTCGTTGCCCAATAGGGAGCTCCACACCTGCGGCCCCAGTGGGGGTGGCCACATGCGTCCGCCACACCCAGTTCAGCGCTTCGTGGCCCCATGGGGAGCTCCACCTGCGGCCCCAGTGGGGGTGGCCACATCCGTCCGCCACACCCAGTATAGCATATCGTGGCCCCATGGGGAGCTCCACTTGCGGCCCCAGTGGGGGTGGCCACATGCGTCCGCCACACCCAATACAGTGTTTCGCGGCCCCAGAGGGAGCTCCACATAAGGCCCCAGTGGGGGTGGCCGCATGCGTTCGCCACACCTAGTACAGCGCTTCGTGGCCCCACAGGGTGCTCCACTTGCGGCCCCTGTGGGGGTTGCCACATGCGTCCGCCACACCCAGTACAGCGCTTCGTGGCCCCATAGGGATCCACCTGCTGCCCAAGTTGTGCTGGCCACATGCGTCTGCCACTCCCAGTACAGCGTTTCGTGGCCCTATATGGAGCTCCACAGAAAGACCATAGTGGCACCGCCCGCAAGCGTCGTCCACCACCCGGTACTGCATTTCGCGGTCCCATTGATTGGGAGCCCCACCAAACCCCAATGGCACCGCCCGCATGCGCCCCACCCGCCCGGTACAGCGTTTCGTGGCCCCGTAAGGAGATCCAGTGGTCACCGGAGGCCCCTGTGAAAATGACAGCGGGGCGCGTTACATGCTCAATGTCAGCGGCGCAAAAGTTACTTAAGACCGGGTTTTTTCGAAGGCACGATGTATGTCTCTCTTAATGTATTCCGCCACAGCTCCTGGTGAAGTGATTGGGAGCAGCAGCATTCAGCTTGCCGCTCGGCACGGTATGTAATATATTTTGGTCCAAGTTCTAGTCGGGTCATCATCGCGGGTAGGGAGACCTCGGTCTCCCTACCGCCCGTCATCATGATGCTAATTCGCTGTCTTTCCCTTCGCCCCCCTCCTCCGGGCGTGCGCATGGCGACGTGCTACGGCCCTCCTCTCCTTGAGCAGCATAGCATGCGAGAAGGACGAATGGTAAGGGCAAAGCACCTTAACCATTTTGGCTCAAGCACCCGACCGCAATTGCAGAGAAGCAAAAAGTTAGACCACCTTCCATATCCCTTCCATGGTTAAACGCCATACCCGTTCTGACAGTTTTGTAGAACACCAGCGCTACCTCAAACGCGTCCGCGTGAGCGTGGACTCGCACCTCCGGGTGCACTTCGGTCTGCCACTGAATCCTAAACTTGATAATCATTTTCCCGTCGACTTAGACCAGGTGTGGGACTACCTGCGCAAGACAGCAGACAGGGAGGATTTGATATCAGAGCTGAGCGAGGACGAGAGCTAGACTCACATAGCTTTCACAGGTTAAGAGCCTTGGCGTCTACACAATGGCGTACAGACCGACATTGTTGCGGCCAGTGCCGCTTGCTGATGCACGGCGCCCGGTGCCGATTGCTGATGCACCGCGCCCTGCCGCTGCGGCCGCCGCCGCGGCCCCCTCCGAGGCGGTCGTCCCAGGGGGCCTTGACCACAGCAGGTCACCGAGGCGCCTGGCCGCGGAGGACCAGCCATTCCCGGACACCGACATCGGCCTCTCGGCGGAACTGAGCCGCATCATCGACGACCATGCCGCGATGGAGGAGCGGACGGCCGAGTTGGAGAGCGAGCTGCAGGCCCGCTACCGGGACGAGCTGTCCAGGGCTGAGGCCGAGCACGTGCAGCAGCTCAGGCAGGAGTTGCAGGTGCACCAGCGGCAAGCCGAACAACTGGCGGAGGACCGTCGGCAGCAAGCAGTGGTCTTCGTTGAGACTGCCAACGCGCAGGTTGCCCAGGAGGCCCTCGTGCGAGACGCTGCCCTTCGGGACGAACTTCGCGGCTACGAGGTCTCGCTCGAGGAGTCTGCCGCCGCGGATGCCGTGGCCCAGCGGGCCCGTGCCGCGGAGGAGATCGCCGCGCACTTCCGGGCGATCTGCCAGCACGAGGCGAGGCTCGAGATCGACGCCCGGGACAGAGCCTTCACGGAGCTCGGGGAGGAGGTCGAGCGTGACGCGGAGGAGAACTACTTGGCTGTCCGGGCTGAGGCGCAACGCGAGGTGCTCGTGGCCAGGCAGGCGGTGGACCAGCAGGTCGTCGCCCTGCAGGGCGAGGTCGCCATAGCTAGCGCCAGCGCTGCCAGGGCCGAGGGCATGCAGCAGGCAGAGGTGGCGGCTTCTCGCGACGGATTCCGTCGACTTCGATACCAGCAAGAGGTCGGCGACGCGGAGATCGTCCAGTTCAAGAGGGAAGTCGACGAACTGAGCGACGAGCTCGACACTCAGAACCACGAGCTGGAGCTTTGGAGTGAGCAGGGCTTGGATGCCCAGGCCAGGTTCGATTCCGAGGCCGAGCAGCTCCGCGAAGCCAACGAGCACATGCTGGAGTTCTCGAGTCAGGCGAATACCTACATCGAGGGGCTCGCGGGGGTCATCGAGAACTTGGAGAATTCTCTGGCCGCCGAGACCAGGATGCGGGGCGAGGAGTCCGCACTAGCCGAGAGACGGGGGCTTGAACTACGACGTGAAGCAGAGATTGCCAGAGCGGCTGCTGTTCGACCGGGGCTTCCGCAGCTGGTGGTCCCAGGATCCGCCGCCTCGCTTGGGGCTGCCGCTCTTGCAGCTGTTCCTGCAGCCGGCGGAGGCGGATGCCCAGCGCGGGCTGCTGTCCCAGCCGGGGCCCTTGCTGCTCCCTTTGACCGCAGGGTCGTGTCCGCGATTACGGCCGGGGGCTATCGGATTGGCGATGGCACGGCGCGGGCCGGTCCGTCGACGGCGCCGCCTGCGGCGCCGACTTCGCTCGTGACCCCGGACCCGGCACGACGAGCAGGGCTGCAACGAACCCTGCTGCCCCGGTTATGTTCTCGCTGGATTCGGACTCGGAGAACGAGGATGAGGCTTTCATGCGACGGCGCACGCCGGTCAAGGAGATGAAGCTGGAGGCCTTGCCGACGGCCCACGGCCTGCGCAAGTGGGTGAACGACTTGGTGTCGGAGGCGTGCCGGTGCTCCAACAGGTCGAAGACCAGGACACTGAAGTATCTCAGGGAGGTCTTCTTCGCGGCGGACGTCGAGACCCTAGAGACGATTCCGTCTAGGCGGGACCCGTTCGACACCGAGCTCGCGAGCGCCTTGAGGAAGGTTGCCACCGGAGGCGTGGGCAGAGAGGTGCAGCTCTACCAGGAGCGGTGCGCCCGCGAGATCCGCCCGTTCGGCGGCAGGCCTGTGCTATACATGATCCTGAAGCGGTACGAGGTGAACTTTGGCCAGGCGCTCCACGTCGATCTGTCCACGATTCAGGCGCTGAAGTTCAGTGGCGATCTGGAGGCATATTTGGACGCCCTCGACTCACGTTTGTCGATCATGATGAAGGAGCCGGATGAGGCACTATTGTTGGCAATCGTCGTGCCAGAGCTCCGGCAGCGCCCAGACTTGGCTCTCGAGTTCCAGATCTTCGACAGGGCCACGCCTGGCAGCAACGAGCAGACCCTCGAGTACCTCTACGACGCTGCAAGGGCGCTCTGCGCCCGTAAGCGCCAGCAGAAGACGGCGGACAACCTCGCGGCGCCGCCGAAGAAGGTGCAGCCGCTCGCCAAGGCGAAGGCCAGAGCCGAGGCGAAGACCAAGGCTGAGCCAAAGGTGAAGGCGGACGCGCGGGCCGGGGCGGCGAACCATGAACCCAAGCAATTCCCTTGCGCACTCTGGCGAGCGGGGGCGTGCAAGTTTGACAGAGACTGCAAGTTCATGCACTATAAGAATAAGGTGCACGCGCCCGCTGCCGGCTACCCCGCGGGCACCGTGGTCAAGCTTGGGAACCAGCCTGGTGATGATTGTCGCCACGCGGCGAACCCCTCGGAGTGCCCCTTCGGCGATCGATGCATCTATCGCCACGGGCCCGACGACAAGAGGGACATCGAGAAGATCATTTAGGAAAAGGCCAGCAAGAAGGGCGGCGGCAAGGGGAAGAAGAAGGTGCTCCTTGCCAGCGCTCCGTGCGTCGGTGCCGGGCTCGACGACTTCGCGGGCGAGATCTGGACGCTGGACTCCGGGAGCGCGTTGGATGCGACGGGCCACGTCGCTGGCGCTAAGCCGCATGAGATCTCGCAGCCGGGCGCCATCGACACCGGCAAGGGCGAGTCGCGCATCGACAGTGCGGTGATGACCCACCTGGACGAGCTTGGGGAGGATATCGAGGCCGCACTTTTGCCAGACGCCTCGGCCACCACCAAAATCCTCACGATTGGCAAGCGTTGCGCAGAGATGGGATACGGCTTCTACTGGCATCCCTGGGCGCCAAAGCCGCAGTTCGTCAGGCCATCCGGTGAGGGTTGCCAGGTGTGGTGTGACAGGGATTACGTGCCGCACCTCGTCACGTCATCGAGGCCGGCGGGCCCTGCTGCCCGGAAGGTGCTGGTCGGGACTGCGACCGGAGACGGATCTGAGGGTCCGCCCACGCCGCCGATGGAGTTGGCCACGCTACTGACCGAGCTGGCCGACGTCGCAGCGCTGTCCCCGGAGCCCGAGGAGATCGCCGGGATGGATCGGGAAGAGCCCCCGCTGTTCGAGCAGTTCTTCGAGTCGCCGATTCCCGAACATGACGTTGCGGCAGTCGCTGGAGAGCTTGGCGCGCCGCTTGTCGAGCAGGAGTCGGTTGGGGACGTCGTGCGAGTGTTGGAGGGGGGCTTGACGGACTTTGACGCGGATGCCATGTCCGACCCTACGGTGTTCCAGAAGATCGAGGTTGCGGAGTCGCCCGACGAGGTCGTTCTCGACTCGGGGGCGGCACACCTGACGATCGAGCACCTGTCGCGCCACACCCCTTCGATGCCAGACGCCTGCCCGGGCTGCAGGGCCGGCAAGCATTGCAAGCCCCACTCGCGACGGCGAGACCCCGCTTCCAGGGGGATCGCGATTCATGCTCCTGATGCGGAAGAGCGCCCTTTCGGAGCCTGCGTCCACTTGGACCACGCCGTCATGCCTCACGGCAGCCCCGCGGCGGAGGTCGCCAAGGTCAGCCTGAACATGCTCGACGAGAGGACCCAGTACGGCGGCGTGTTCCCGAGCTCGAGCAGGAAGGCGGAGGTCGTCACTGCAGCGCACCACCTCTTCGACGACGTCTCCCCGCAGATCAGGCGCTGGTGGGCGGACAACGCCCCGGAGCTCAAGACGGCAAGCCGGAAGCTTCGGGAGCTCCACCCTTTCGCGCACTTCTGCTCCATTCCTCACGTGCCACAGTCGAATGGCATCATCGAGAGGTTCAACCGGGCGCTGCTGGAGGGTGCTCTCGCGCTGCTCGCGATGGCGGCTTTTCCCGTCACCTGGTGGCCGCTAGCGCTGACGATGTGGTGCATGATGCACAACGGCTTCAAGATCGGCAAGGACGGCTTCACCCCATATTTTCGACGTTTCGGCCGCCATCCTGAGTTCCGGCAGCACCCCTTCGGCGCTCTCGTATTTGTGGCGCCGCGGGAGAAGGGAGTCAAGCAGCCCAAGTGGCAGGAAAAGATGCTACCCTACGTGCTTGTCGGCATCGGGATTGGCCCTTGCTTCGACTGGAACAAGACGTACGCCGTCGTCCCTCTCCGCAGGCTGCTGGGCGATTATCGGCCATCGCGGTCATCTATTAGATATTCTGCCGAGGTCTTCTTCCCCGAGCGCGTCACCTTCCCAGCGAAGCAACGTCTTCGCCTTGCAGGGGCGGCCAGGGACGACGCCTTCCCTGCCCCGGCGGTCTGCGATGAGAAGGGGGCTTGGGACATTGAGAGTCGGACCACAGCGCTGGCTCAGGCAACGAGTACGACGGCGAGCTCGCGGAGAATGCGCCCAAGCTGGTGCCGGGCAACTTCATCGAAGACATTGTGCTGGACCTCGAGAACCTGGCCGACTCCGGCGGCGACCAAGATGACTGGCTTGGAGCTGATGCCCAGTTTATCGCTGAAGATGTTCTTGCCGGCATGGGGCCGGAGCCGGAGCCCCTCGACGAGGCCGAGGTCAAGGCTGCAGGGGGGCGCCCGCCGACCGGCTGGAGGATCGACACGTTCGGCAGCCGAGCGGTCTCTGTCCCGCCATGGTCGCGGAGGCCTCCCACCGTCTACCCGGAGGCGTGGGTCATGATGAGCAAGGGGGACCAGAACAAGCTGAGGGACGAGTGGAAGGAGAAGGATCCAGATTGATTCAAGAAGCAGGAAAATCGGAGAAGTGCTTACCAGGAAGCCAAAAGGGCAAGGCGGATGCCCGCCGCAGCGGCGACACGGTCTGGGGGAGGTACCCCTCAGGAGCCGGCGGCGGCACGGTCCGGGGGTGGGGGACCCCGGCCGCCTGAGGCAGCACGGGCAGCGGATGCCGCCCAACAGACTGACCAACAACCAGAAGCAGTTCCAGCACCTGGGAGTCCAGCGCCGGTGCTTTCGGCAGTGCATCGGGACGTGCGGAGCGCTGGTTCTGCTTCGCTGGCGCCGGTGCTAATCGCGAGGCACCGGGACATGCGGCATAAACGATTGATCGGTTCTCCTAGCTTGTCGACCTTGCATGAAGCTGGCGAGCGTGCTGATCTTCTCAAGTGCGCCAGGGCGAAGATTCGTTCGGGCGCCTTCACTGCCGTTTTTCTTGAAATTAATTGCGAAATGGACTCAGTACTATCTCAAGGAGTTGTTCCAGGTACCCTGGCTATCCGCCTGGCCGAGGAGACCGACCTTACCTTGAGGGAGACCCGCCGTGCTCTACATGGTGTGGTCCGGGAGGCCTACCTCAATGGGTGTGCAATTTACGTCTGGGCGTCGACGCCGAGCACGGCCGGGAGCCCGAGGCAGCACGTCGACGCTGGGCCTGGCGGCGCCTGTGGTGACGTGGATCTTTCTGACAAGCTCATACAGACCACCATTTCCATTTGCAGGCACGCGGCGAGATACGGTGGCTGGATTTTCTGGGAGCGGCCTCCTACGTCCAAATTCTGGCACCGCCAGGACGTCATCGACTTCGCGCAGTACCTCGATGCTGGCAGCCGGGACGTCTCGACCGCAGCGCTCGGGATGAAGTTTGTCGTGAAGCGCGGCGGCCAGGAGATCGAGCAATATCTCAAGCAGAAGTGGGGGATCATGTCGAACCACGCGGAGTTTCTTCGACGATTGGAGCCGTACCAGGACGTTCCGGACCTCCCCGAGGACAGCTTCATCGAGTGCACGGGCAAGATCGCCAAGGACAGCGCCAACTACACGCGGGAGCTGGCGGAGGTTTTTTGGAGCATCGTCAAGGTTGTGCCCAGCCTAGACCACCACGATGACGGGGTTGGTGCAGAGCCACCTGTGTGGTCGTGCTTGATTACACGGAAGATCAATCTGAAGTCAGCCGAGGCTCGATCCGAAGCCGCTCTGAAGGCCATCGAAAAGGAGCTGGCTGGCCATCGGAGCCGGCAGACTTGGTCCGAGACGGAGGTCCGGGAGTACAAGGACCTGGCCGAGGGCGACGACGCCTCGATCAAGTTCCGGGCGGTCTTCCAGGGCAGCCAGGTGAGGACAAAAACGGGCGTCGACGCCGTCGACCTGTACCAGGAGGTTTCGAGCAGCCCGGTGAGCTTCGCAGCGGTACGCTGCACTCTTGCGATCGCCGTGCTGCTTCAGCTCCAGGTGTCGGTTTGCGACGCCCTGTACCTTCAGGCACCGATCAGCGGGCCAGGACGAGTTCCCACGTGGGTCGAGATCCCACGGGAGTGGTGGCCGTCGAGCTGGTACCACAACGGGGACCGGTCTCGCCCCAGGTTCGTTCGACCGGTATGCCTTCTGCTCCGAGCTCTTTACGGGCATCCGGAAGCAGGCGCACTCTGGGAGCACCTGTTCGAGGGCATCCTGAAGGCATTGCACTGGAAGCCGGTAGCTTCCTGGCCTGGGGTCTTCCTTCACCCGGGCGGTAGCATTCTCAACGCGTACGTCGACGACGTGCTCCTGGCAGCGGCTATCGGGAGGGCCGCCGCGCATTGGAGGGACCTCTTCAAAGCCATCGACTTTAAGGACGACCCGGCGGACATCTCTCGGTTCGTGGGGGCCCACTACTTGCTCGACCCGTTCCGGGAGGAGGAGCCGTTGGCAGCGCGTCGCATGCAGATCTCGATGTCTGGGTACACTGCGAAGATGTGCGACCGGTTTGTGGCTGACACCGGCATCGCCTTGAACAGGGCAGTCGACACGCCGTACTTGTCGAACGAGGCGTGGAACGACGACAACGAGCAGACGGGGAAGTTCGCACCGATTGCGCCCTCTCACGCAGCCTCTGCCTTGTTCCTGTACCGCGTCGGCAGGCCGGACATAGCCGCGGCCACCCAGCGCCTCTGCAGCAAGGTATCTGCTTGGACCGTCGTGCACGACAAGGCCCTCATCAGGCTCATGCTCTATGCCGCCTGCGCGGCGAAGGCTGTGCTGCGCGGGGCGTTGTCGCCGTCTGATCTGGCCGCGCTGCTGCTCGTCTGCTACTCGGACGCTGACCTGAATGGCAATTCGGAGACCACCAAATCTGTCTCGGGCTGGTGGGTCGAGCTTTTCTCTCCCGAGAGTGGGAACACGTTTCCGCTGAGCTGGGGAGTATCGACACAGACATCGACCAGCTCGGCCACTGCCGAATCCGAGACGGTTGCCTTCAGTCACGCTCTGCGCCGGGAGGCGATCCCGTTGCAGATGTTGCTTGAAGAGGCTCTTGGCCAGCATATCCACATAGTTTGTCGCATCGATAATATGCAAACTATTCAGTGTGTAGCAAAAGGTTACAGCAAGAAGCTCAGACACTTACCACGTACCCAGCGGATCTGTCTTGGGGTGCTTCACGAGATGGTCACAAACCCCGACCTGCGCATCGCTATGGAGCATTGCCCGACATTGGCCATGAAAGCGGACCTGTTCACGAAGACGTTGAACTCGGCACGGTACGCGACGGCCTTGGACATGATCGGGCTTGATGTCACAGACGGGGCCTGAGACTGAGCCAGTGCACATGCATTTTTTCTCAATTCACGCTGAATTGTATGAGCCTCTGGTCGCCGTGGCGAGGGGGGTGTGAAAATGACAGCGGGGCGCGTTACATGCTCAATGTCAGCGGCGCAAAAGTTACTTAAGACCGGG